AATCTAACCACTCGGCCAGTTCGGAAGTCCACACAGTGAATGTAATGCTTGTCCACACACCCACACCCACACAAGCAGGTTTGTTTTACATAGCTGGTGTGGACATTCCTTTGTTTTCGTGTAGTTAAGAAAAACATGGTGCCCATAAGGCCTACGAAACACTTAGCCCGGGCCTGGCCGCTGCAATGCCGGTGTTGTAAAGGCAAACATGGCACGCCATGTTAGAAGTGGCAGTCCGTCGTCCTCTCACCATCTGGAATTTCAGGTAACAGTTTAGTCCTGTCATTGTGGAACCCACACTTTTGGTAGGACACAGCCAAGCCTCGACGCTCCTCAGCATCTGGCATCAATATGGGCCAGCCATTACAATTAAGTTGTGTCCGTTTGTGATTTAGGACAGCCTGCATGCGCACCCAAGTCGACTCGGTAAACTTTTGCTTCAAATAAAATGCGACAATTTTATAATAAAAGTGGACTGCAGGGAATACGAAGATTATAATCCCTTGATCATCATAATATTTATTGTCTTACATACATAATTCATGGTTAAATTGACAGTATTGCACTTCTCATTCAACCAGTAACATTGGATGATAAAAAAAGACATTTCTGTACATACATTATAAACACGGTTTTGTACAAGGAACAATTTCACGAGTATACGTTTGCACTTATGTGTTTTTATGTAATTAACATGCCTGGACGCTAATTTAAATATATTATTTAAGGAAGAATATATTTGATCAGCCACGAGAAACAAAATACAGCGTACATTTATGGCGCATTTAACGGAGTTTACGGGTTTTCCAAAACAAAGGAACACCTAAAATGAATCTGTACATATTCCTGCATTGACAATAATTTGTAATATAACCGACAAATATACCATAAGGGAGACAAACCAGAAGACTTGTGCACAATTTGTTTTCCAAATTTAAGGACCCTTAACCCCAATTTTACCTTATCCTACCCCTACGAATTTTGGTATTTTTGCTAATTGGACCACGAGCAATCGATCTAGCCTAAAAGCGACAACAACATTTTGCCTCTTGAGCTGAGGCATTAGGGAGACATTGAAAAGTCTCCCTAATTCCACATTTCTCCCAAAGGTAACCTTCCCATGCTAAAGGTATCCCAATTGGTATAATTTACAATAGTTGGCTGATTGTTATGGAATGCAAATCTCGGCTTTGCTTACGTAAAAAAAAAAAAAAAAACCTATCTTACAAAAACCTTGCTATTTACATGTAAAACATATTAAGTGATTAACTATATTGATTACACTTGCTGTCAGGAAAAATGTCATTTAGCAGTATATAGCTAGGCAACGCAACAATTTTCGTGAAAATTATGTGTGGTTTTTTTGTTTTGTTTTTACCCAGATATAATTTTCATGAAAATTTTCTTTTCCCCCACATTGACTTGTTTTGTTAGAAACCCCCATGGTATGTCAATGCCCGATCACACTTCAACTCAATTAATCAACTCTACAGGTAGAACGGTACTTATGATTGATTTTACCCGAAGGATGCTTTGATATAGCCTGAAACGCCGGATATAGAACCTACAGTGCTTATTTACCAAGTTTGATTAAAGGTCGCGGACGTACAGAAGGTACCGTAACCTCAGTCATCGGTCAATGGTGGCCATGCCATTGACCCTGAAAGAAGCCTCCCTCTGTCACCAAGCACACCGCTCAGGGCAACGGTCATTCTTCTAACCGTAAAGGGTTGATTACCCAGCAACCCGAGCGAAACTAATTATCAAACATTGACTGAGATCAAAATGCCGATCAAAATTAAATATTTTGGGCATCACTCAAATTGCTCTTGTGGATGCCGCAACGGAAGACGAAACTTTTGCCTAAAGCAAAATTTCAAATATCTCGAAATGGTTGCCGTTGGTAGCATATTATTCACCAATTAAGGCTAAACTCCAAGGAAAACTTAACTACGGTTAACTCAACGAAAACGTCTGTGAAAGGGGGTATTTACCCTCCCCCCCCCAATATTTCGTAAAGACTGCCTTTTTCCATTCAAATGCCCTTTTTTTCAACGGGCTTACCCCCCCCCAATAATTGTTAAAGAGTGCCTTTTTGTTACCAAGTGCCCTTTTTTCTGAACAAGTGCCCTTTTCAAAAAAGGAGTGTTGCCCTTTTTTGTGGCATCTGCTGTTTGGGTGCCTTTTTCAGAATTTCGCACATGTATCGCCCTGAAAAGCACCATATATTGGCCCTTTGTGTGCATAATTGTCGGTTTTGAACAGCTCCCCCATCGACAGATGGTACCAGCCACCCCCCCCCCCCCCGCTTTTTGATTTTACGGAGGCCAAGTGTCCAGAGAAAAAAACTTGTCTACATTTCACAACGGATGTGCAAGTGCCCTTTTCAAAAAAATTTACCCCCCAATAAAAATGACCGTGCTAAGCCCCTGCGTATTTCATAAAGTCCAAAATTTCATACTATACACTGGTCATTACGTTAAGTAACAAACTGAATAACGTAATGATTGCCTTGTAAAATGGTATTAGTTTGATGCAGGGTAATACAAAAATACGCTTGCATATTATTTCAATCGTCCACTTCTGAGTTTAAAGTATATACATTGGTAAATGCAATAATTATAGAGTTTACAATGAAGGACCTGGACCGATTTTATGCCGTCCATATAACCCAGCGCATGTAATTATTCCACACTTCACATAATGATCCAAATGAAATGGTGGCAAAGCGGCGTTTAAATATTGATTTAAAAAAACCTGAGTTACAAGAGGGCCTAAATTAAAGTTCTTACAACAGTCGCTGCTCTCATCATCTTGAATTAACGTATGAGTCACAGCCGCGTCATGGCAACGGTGACTGGAGAATGAGTCTACCTGAATCGATTTCCACAGCAAATGACAAGCCGGTGAGGCGTGGATCGAATAGGGAAAGCCGCATGAAGGATCGAGGTACTTAACTGCGGCAAATCGCGCCTTGCATATATACATTTTGTACGCCAGACAGTTGTGTATGAACTTAAAGTGGAACAAGAAAATACTCCAGTTAACGAGCAAGTCAAACAGCGTGGCTTTAGAGGACGGTACGTGACATTTATAGTCAACGAGTCATCATCAGTGAGCGACCTGCTCCAGCGCAGTCTCTGACAGCATCCTGTAGCATATGCATTTAATGCATGCATGCGTCGGTTCCTTTTTCTTAAACAAAATACCCCGTTTTTGTTGCGTTTAACTTTGATAATTTATACCCGAAAAGTACTAAACGTGGTAGTACACTAGTTGCGGAAATCTGACTTGACGAACAATGGAGATTGCATTAATTCCTTTTAGATGCTAGTCAAGGAGTTAGTCGAAAGACAATAAGAGAGACATTCTACACATATTCAAGTACAGGCCCGACTTATTACGAATTCCGTTCACTGCCAGTTTGACAATAAATGGATCGTTTGGCCATTATTAAACTGTTGCATCAGTCCCCTAAGAACGCACGCATCTTAAGCAAAAACGTATCCTGATCCGTTTGAATACTTAATACATACTCTCTTTAATCTTTATTATAATTGAAATATCAGTTGTAGACTATGTATCCCTTTGATTTCACTGAGTCTAAATTTCGTTGTGTATAATAACGAGCGTTGACAGACTTACGGTTTCGCGCCCTCTGATATATTCCTCCCGACCCGACCCCACCGTCAGACGTACATACCTATTTGACAAACTTACCAATAACAATTAACACTTTCAAGCTGGTAATTTTGATAACGAAAAAAAAAAGTTGAAACATGGATGTAATAGGTATAGGCTACTAGTACGGCAGATAGGTGACGGGATTGTGCTTTCGATGATACAAGCATGGAATTTGGCACATAATCAGAGTAGGTCATGAGAAAGATATTTGGCTATACATATAGGGCCATCGCAGATTTGTCCTTTGAAAAAAAATATGGGTAGAATAACAAGCAATGGCAGCCATTTTGAAAATCTTGAAAATCGCTTGTTATTCTACCTATATTTTTATCAAAGGACAAATCTGACAAATGTCCTTCTTGAGACATACTCTGACAGTGTGCCAAATGCCATGCTTGTATCATAAGGCACAATTCCCCCACATAGTTTCTTCTATCTGCCCCACTATAATAGAAAAAGACATTGAAACATAAGCCTGTATATGCTACTTGTCTGATGGTCAAAAATGCATGCGGGTCCTGTCAAATATCCGAATATTTTCAATCCTTAAAAAGATGCTGTAAACGTCTCCAATCGTTTCCAATCAATTTTGTGCCAAGGCTATGGCAAATACATACGTAAATATTAACTTTTCCCTACTCAGTAACATTCAAGGCTCCAGTGAATAACCATTTAAATATTAACCGCGTATTTTAACAGCTTTACGGACGTGTCTCGGTAATCGGTTTTTGTCGTGCATGGGTGCACCAGCCAACAATGATATATGTCTTCACACATGTATAATTGATGCCTCATACAGAATGTTAATGTTGTTTTCACCAAGCTTTGACCGGACGCTGTATATTAAATTGTGAGGCACAAGATTGAACAGGGATAAAAGCCGTCAGATTGACACAAACGTACACAGCAATACATTACATTGGTACTGAAGTCTCCCTTTTCGACTTAAAAAAAATCATCTGGAAGCAACTTTGGAAACATTTGGTGATTTGGAATACGATAAATGCTCATCGTTGCATAACCTTATATTATAATGCCTTATTACAATATAGTTATAATTCATAGTCCTAAATAATCAACACACCGCCATCGCTGCATTATGCGCGATATCGCGCAGTACACACGACGCGCGCGCCAATATCCATTGAACTTGAGGAGATGTTTGCGACTTACTTGCGAGCTGGAAACTCCAATATATAGCTAGAGGGGTGTTTCGAAAAACATAAAGTGAAATTGTTGAACAAAATCGTTGGAAATGTTTAACTTGTTTTGGCTTTTAGACCGAAAAGTTTTGATTTTTTTTAGCTTTCGGCTCGGGTAATTTTCAGCATCCAAACTCCAACCGGTCTTAAACAGAGTGTTTAAAACCTCCCAAGCACACATTAGTTTTATTCCCCTATTGAAGCAGATGGTTTGAAAAGCACGTTGGCAGAAAAGCACAATGATATTTTGTTGACATTTGAACATTGACGCACGATGATAGATGTCATTAATTTCCCCTACAAGTGCTACCAACAACAAGTATTGAATTGGTGGAATGCATATGTACATTTATAACTTGTTGACAGACAATTGTATAATGCAATCAGAAAGAGAAACTACGTTTTGGTAAGGGTTAAACTGTCTTTAAGCCACTTCTTGTTAAGGCTTACGTCTCTTTGATAACCATTCTTTTTCACACGAAAATGTTTGATTGATATATATTCTTCCTTGGGCCTATCGGATAGCGCAAAGTTACCACTCTTGGCAGCTTTTTTCCGTTGTCAACGGTCGGATTCTGACAGAAACATTTGGCGCTGAACGATTCCCTTGATGACGGTCCATTCCCTTGATCTACGACACGTGGCCTGTCCCAACGAGCTTATAACGAGTATAAGCTTGTTTGGAGTCAGTCAGTAAGCCCACACGACATCAAGTTGTTGTTTCCAGCAAGATTAACGTGACGTGACTCCACACAAACTTTTTCGTAGTCTGGGAATTTGCGAAATCTATTCGACCGAGCAAACTTTTCCAACATTAAACCCAGTCGGCTGCATTCTTGACTTTCCCCGCGTTACCACCGGCTTCGTTACTCGATATCTCTGTGACAGTTTGAGTCCGTGACCCATCCCCAGAGGTGCGTACAGACACGGGCTTGGGTGTAACGGTCACCTCCTCGACTTGCGTAGTGTCACCGTTGGCGTCGCTCTGTGGGGTCAACGACACTTGAATCTGGACTTGAGGGGGCGGGACAGCAGGAAGCTTCTTGGCCTTAGTACCCGGGGTGGTTTTACCCCGGGGTGAGGATGTGGGTGGCTCACTACTATCGATGTGCCGCTTGTAAGGAATGTTTGAATCCATGATACAATCCTCGGTACTTTCGCCAGCAGATGGGTCACCACCGTCGGGGTCGTCCGTTTTATGGATGTGAACCACCCCTCCCTCGTGGCGGTATTCCAGTCCTGCACGGGTCCAGCGTCTCTCCATGGCTTGTGGGGGAGGCGCGAAGGCAGAGGGCCGCCGCTGTTCCAGCAAGAGTCCTGGGGTACTGAGAGAGCGCGAGGTCCTGTTGGGTGGTTCCTCGATGTCCGGTGGTGGCACACCCGCCGTCTGCTCGCTGATGGCTAGCAGCTGCTGCTCTCGTCTCTGTGCCTGTTTCTCGGCGATACGTTTATGGTCCCTGCGATGGATGAGAGAGAAAGACAGAAGGAATGGATGAGTCATTGCAAACGCACTGACTGATGCACACATGCAACATGATGGAACCTGCCCGTGAGGAGACAATCAAGCGAATGAATCATTGACATCACTTCTCCCTTTGTTTCCAGACTAGCGCATGCAGTCATCATCTCACACCTGCTCACATGCACGCACAGCATAAAGATGTCAGTAGTTTCCTAGGCATGATTTCAGCGCTATGCATATGCGCTGTAGGCACGGGTAACACGCCATATGGACACTGGCGACTGTGCGCTCTATATGCCCCGTCCCTACAGTCAACTGCAATAATACATTACTCATAAACTCGATGCTGTTCTAACTCACCATGAATATTTATAAGCAAACCAAATATTGTCTGAATTCGCCTCCTAAAACAAAATAGCCAAAGGTGATTGACGGGCCTACATTAAATTGCTGTCTGAGCTCTCTAGTCTCCACTCGAGACGTCTGTCTGGTTATTCATCGCATCTCAATCAGTTCCGGGGAATTATTTTCTACTCTTTCGATTGCCAATTTCTGGCACACTTGTCGTTCATACGTATCTTAGTTACCTGTGCTTTCTTCACTGCCAAGATATAAAGGCTGGCAGTTAGTAACTATGTTTGGGTTATTACATTTATTCTAGAAATTAAATCTTGTTAAATGTTGAAGAAAAGACATACGCCCTTATGGGAGTAACATGCCACAATTACTATAAGTAATGACTATTTTTAACACACTGTTTCCTGAGTGAATTAACACTGATGATACTCCAAACGCACCACTGCTTTAATTACGGTAAATGGAAAATGAAAACTGACACCGGGGAAGCGAGATTCCCGCGTGAACTCACGATACTATAAGGAAATTAAAATTTCAGGAACCTTGTAGTGTTTCAGATTTTGAATGTACGTATGTGCAGTTGCAAAATTATTTTCGAGTTCCTATTTAAACAGGGAAATTAGATTACCTTAAAGATATACAATGATTGATATAAAATGCCACATCACTTTAAAATATTGCACGGAACAAACTACTGCAAACTACTCAATTTACAACAGGAAATCTTGCCAAAATGTCTGAAATTTATGGACGTAGGAAATGCTAATAAAGGTCGTCACACGACCGCCATTTTGATTTGTGTTCGGTGTTTTGCCTTCATAACAACCCGGGGCGCACGTGCATATTTCGACAACTTGTGATTCCCCACATGGACTCATCTACATTACTGATCAAATGCATCGTGATCTGATCGAACACGCTACAGAGCTTGATATTTCAAAAATCCCCATCGAGGAAATGTATCCAGTCGTCTCCCAAAATGTATAGCACAAACAGAGCCGGATAAAGACTGCGGGAGGCCCTGGGCTCAAGTAATGTGGGAGGCACTATACGTAAAACAGAATAAAAACGTTTTCTCCAAATTTGACCTTCACGTTACTTAGCCTAACTTTCTATTGATGAGCTTCAAACGCATTTAGTTAGATACATGTAACCGTAACAAAACTTGCTCATTTTGGAACATTGTGAATAAAGGTATTGCTGTGAAAGGTGCAGTGTCTGGTTAATGGGGCAGAGGGTTGCCTATGTGGCGCACAAATTCATGTAACGGTTGACTGAACTCAACATTTATGAACACAAAATATTTCAAACTTGCCGAAATGTCACTTCCTGATAACTTTTGGGTAAAACTTCGCAAATGCAAGTTGCAAGAGGAGAAGTGTTCCACGTTAGGCCAACGAGTAGACTTGCTGTGTAAGTGACGTGAAAACAATGGTAAATGTCAGCGACACGATTTGGTAATAACATTGGAATTGTAATGAACTGATTCAGGTATCTGAACATCATATCTTGGCCGAGTTCACCTAGGTCCGCAGATGGTAGTTTTCTTTTTGACTTACCACGGTGTAGGATGAAATGTTGTAAGCGTTTTGTGGACTCGGCCCCTAAATTGTTGGAGGCCTCAGGCCAGGGCCCGGTAGGTCTGTGCGTTTAGGCGCATCTTTCCATTTTAATACATATTTTTTTTAAATGCATTTTTCCATTAATTTTTAATTTGCACAATAGGATAGAGGGAATGCAAGGGAACCGATCTTTCAAGGACACCGGTATAATGTTGAAATAGTAGTGCAACTATGCGAGCGATATCAAACGTAATTTAAAGATGTGCTATCTGTACAGTTCTCGAAAATAGATTTATTTTTAATAGAATTGGTTTTGTGCTCCTGCAATACAAAATTATTGACTTTTGAATGAGACTTCGAACAAACAAATCGGCCACAACTTTTATTTATGGAACGATACTTTAAAGATTTCGAATTTACTTCTTGCAGTGTAATCATGTGCAGCGAATGTGCGTGCATTGACAAAAGCGGTAACCTACGTTTCCTTCACATTTTCATCTAGGCTAAAGCATATTGTTACAAACATTAAGTCAAGTTTACCAATCAGTTTTTAAAGGTTGCAATACGTATTCATTAACGGGAGAACGTCTACGGCCCACGTGTTCAAAACAAACTGCACATGATGTCTCTGTACAGAAAAGAACATCAGAACGCAGGAGATATTAGGCCTACAACGTAGAGTTGTTATATTCCCTCGATCACGAGCGTGATGGTCCCGCCTTTTTGAACGTCAGGGCATGAACATAGCCTAAATGTCACGTCGATGCATGGAGACATGACCCATTAGGCCCATTGTGTGTCAAAATAAAACGGGCAGAAAAGGTCAAAGAGCGTCGGCTTTGTGAGACAACCTCACGAATTAATTGCACGTCCATTCAGACTTCTTGTTATGCATATTCGATACCCTCGTACAAATCTACAAATGATTTTTCGTCGGTCCTTTTGTTTTTGGTGTTACAATTTCAGTAGTTTCAGTAATGAGGAAATTCACTCCTTTCACTGTTCCTGATACATTTATACACTTGGCATGCACGACGGTGCGAACAAATTATTGCAGAATAGTTTCTACGCACGCCAATATGCAAATGCAGTTGCATCTTTTTGTATTAATCCTCTGAGACACTGCGATGAAATGCCAACCTCGTCTGTCGGATGTACAAGCAGTCTTTTAATTGAAGCCGTATGTGAACAGCTACCTGTACCGTCTGTTCGTCTTTTAAAAGATAAGCCTCGGAGAAATGCCCATTTCTAGCTACATTACCTTGGACGTCATAAAAGACCTCTAAACATGACGAGCGTGTCTCAAAGAGACAAAGGAGCAGATGTTTTGCAACAATGATGGGATAACGATTAGACAGACATTTTTTTTCTTTTTTAGTGAGATGTGTGAAAAGCGTCCCACCATCTTCCGGCGAGCGCATTGAAAATTAATCAATACTGGCGGCGGTGCTATATTAGAAAGCACATTTGTGCCTCTTTCAATTCCATAGCTAGGCCTAATCATTAAAGGGCCATGCAATGTAATTGTATTTAACACATTTCTTGAAAATGTACCTTTGTGTCCCATTTATCTTTATTTTTTAATTTTGTTTTGCCATTTTAAAGGGTATTTTGGTGCCTTTTGATTTTCATGCTAATGACAATTTCCATATTCATGAGCAATATATAAAGTGTGATGTCATTTCAGGCAGAAACCTCAATGTTACTGTCATTTCAACACCAAAGGTCGCCATAATTTGGGTTTCGTAAATGTTGTTTTCTTTGGTGATTCGTTGTTGTGTCATTACATGACAGTAAGCCAATGAGCAAAGTTTCCCACAGATGTTTTCAATGGGCAAATATTTGGGTTCACAAATTGAACAGAAAATCCCTTATTAACGGAACAATATCTTCCTGAAATGACATCACAACAACAGCCCCCTCAGTTGTCTGGAAAAGCATTGAGAATTTTAAATGTTTAAAGAAGTGCACTTTTCAATAAAATAAACCAAAAGGAATGTCAAATAGTTTTTATACATTTCAGAGGAGTAGAATGTTGCACATAATATATTTCTAAGAAAATCCATCAACTTTTTCCGCGATACCCTTTTTTAACCTCTAGTCTTGCGCATCTTTTGTTACCAAAAACATAAAATTCTAATCATAGGTTACCGCGCAGCGAAAATCTTTCGTTGTTGAGCGCCGTGAAAACTGAATTTGTCCCATTATGTAGTGCACACAAAGCAGAATCCCATTGGGGCATATGAATAATTAATTCAAAAACTGATAATTTAAAAACCCTATATTCATGAAATTTCTTGGGAATGTTCATATTAAATTATTCAATGCATGCACCGAGTTGCATAATTTTTCGTCACTCATAGGCCGAGATCGGGGGGGGGGGGGGGGAAATCCGCTCCCGGCTGTGCGGTGGTCAAAATAACACGGCTCCTTTAGGGTAAACATGGTGTTACCGTGAACCTTCCATTAAGGGGCTCATGAAGTGAATATTTCTTAGGAACAAATTCTGTGCTACTTTCCAATCCTCTTAAGTGAATGAAAACTAATTGATATTCCTTTTTGGTCAATTTTGTTGAAAAGTGCAATTCCTTAAACATTTAAAATTGTCCATGCTTTTCCGGACAACAGTTTTGAGGGGGGGGGGCTGTTGTTGTGATGTCATTTCAGGGAGACACTGTTCATATTTTTTTATTGAAACAGTCAACCAAAAAAAATGCTCATTAAAAACATTTGTGAGAGTTTGCTCATTGGCTTACTCATACGTTTGCTCATTGGCTTACTGCCATGAACTGGCACAACAACGACTCACTAATGAAAAGAAAGTTCACGACATCGAAATATCCAAAATTTTGGCACCTTTTTGTGAATAAACTAATTGCAACATTGAGGTTTCTGCCTGATATGACATCACCCTTTTGCTCATGAATATGGAAATTCGCATTAGCATAAAAACCAAAAAGGCACCAACATACAATTGAAAATGGCAACCTGAAAATTGAAAATAAGGTTAAAGGGACACAAAGGTGCAGTTTCAAGGATTGCATTTTAAAAATTACATTGGCGGATCCAGAACAAA